TATCCTCGAAGCAGAGTCCTTCAATGCCCAATCCAGCGTTCGCGACAACTTCGCCGGTGAATTTTGAGAACAGATATTTCAGTTCAACTTCGTACTTGTCGTTCAAACTCAATCGCCTGTTCAGGTAATCTTGAAACTTCTTGCATACTCCGTCGACGGTTACAAATAAAGATTTCAATCTGGAGCTGGAAAACGCATACGTCAAGCGTTTCCTTGCGGTCGACCAAGCTTCTCCGTAATTAACAAACGGATTTTTGGCCAACAATGGATCGATGTCTGGAATGATTTCAATAGCGTTGTCGTGGAAGTTTGAGAAATTGGTTTGTAGCACTGTTTTTACTAACTGCGGCTCGCGAATAACTAGAATTGGTTTCATTGCTTTGTAAAGACCAACCATACTACTGTTTTTGTGATCGTTGTATATTTTGCGCACCAATTCGGGGAAGTTTTTTCTCATAGCTAGCACAGGCAACATGTGGCCAACGAAGGGATAACATCCTGCAGCTGTTGGAATCCCTTTTCTCTTCCAGTACGTATATCGTAGGTACAAGTACAGACACAATAATATTGATGCCCCAAGTACTAATGAAAAAAGTGCTGATTCCATTCTAACACTGCGCGTGTAGCAACGATGCTGATAGTAGCACGACTGGAGTACCAACTACTTTAATGAACTCGTGTTGTGTGTTATCAAACAGATAATAGATAGTCAATGCGTAGGGTACAGTACAAGCATCTAACTTAGTAAGGTGTAAACGACATGGTTCAAAATTTTTATCGGAGACTGTACTGTATGTGCATTAATTTATGTGACAAAATAATTTCGATAAACTAATTGTTACACTTATTACTTCTACATTATAATTAACAACATAACTTTGCAACTAATATAGCGTTCGAATATCTATAAGATACTGTTCCATAGGTAACGGGTATTCATTACGACATTGAGGCAGCGCGTAGAAAATGTGAAGACTGCTGAGTCATGATTGTTTTTGAGATGAATTTGCACAGAGATACAGTGTGGTCTGTGCTGTTGCAGCATCTTCGTTGATTATTATAATTGCTATCGTTATCGTGTACCATACATAGTATCCTCAACGTTGATATTATTTCAATTTTAAAATACTCGTAAAACATGTATTAAAGATTATATAAACTTACAAAATTCTCTCACTATTAAATCTATATTTCTTCATAAGCGAAATCAAAATTTTGCC